ATATATATATATATATATATATATATATATATATATATATATATATATATATATATATATATATATATATATTGATAAAATCACACGGGAAAAGGGAAACAACGGAGCACCTTAGCTTTCGTCTTTATTCAAGACATCTTCAGAGGCAACTGGATTACATGGACAGAGAGAGGCTTAATATACAGGGTGACCTTATAAAACATGAGGTCAGGTCATAATGATGTCATCCACTAATCCCCACACCAACACACGTAGAGGAGCTTAAGAGAAAGGGGTGACGTGACTAGTCAGGTCAGGTCAAAAATAAGGGACCCACTAAATAACTATCATACATCTAGATCAAAGGGTTTCAAAGCATTTTTAACCTTGGGCCACTGACAAATAAATTTGTGTAACATATCAGTTTTGAACTGACCATCACTAAGGTTTATTGATTTTGATTCCTTAATCAAACTAGCTTCAACCAGAAGTCTTTCTGTGACACAAGATGATTTAAATACTTCTAAGCTTTTTTCCCAAGCAATGGGATGATATATATATATATATATATATATTCAGAAATTTTCGTGTGATATTTTGAGACGTTAGAACAGAAGTAGCCGATCTGCCAAAACAGGAAAGCATAAGTAGGCCAGGCTGAAACACCCACGCCTCATGACGAGTTAAAAAAAGGCCAAGCAACGCCATCGAGCGGAAGGCGGAAGCATTTTGAACTAGGCTTATATAAAACTAAATGTACTTTATCAAATTAATGTAGACACGATTCATGAAGTTAAGGGACAATTATAAAATTTAATGTTATTGTGGATAGTTTCTCAGTCTAAATATGTTACGTGTGTCCCAAAGAAACTATTAGTAATATGCGAAAGATGATGTCATTGGGTGAAGGCAGGCCAACGTCCTGAGGCATACCGAAGCTGATCTGGTCTCAGTAGCTCCCGGTCATTGACCGAGACAGATGTCTAACTACGCGTTCCGCCAAGGAAAGTGACCACGTGGCCTCGTCCCTTCCCGCGCACGTTTCATCAGTGTTGCAAGTAAGATTTTATTCGATCTCAGACAGTGTTTAGATAGGGTGGAGAAGAATTTAACAGTAGCTAACAGAGTATTCCTTTTGCAGGGTTCTGAGAACCCACTCGGTGGCCGGAGGTTGGTTGGTGTTCAGTGGTCGTATAGCTGGCAACGCACGAGGTGAACAGGTGTCCCTGACGACTAACTACATGGGACCAGCATCTGCACTTTGGTCGGTGGTCGATCTGGTTCATCAAATCTCCCCACCTTGGTTCATACAACACCACATCTCTTCAGTCAGTCAGTGAAAAATCTTACTAATGGGAAAATAGAACCACCTCCCTCAGCTGGGCAGGGCTCACCTGGTTGTACTCTGAACTGGCCTAACTAGGCAGGCTGACGGTCACTCTTCCTGTCCATGAAGTACTGGGAGTAAACTGAGTGTAGACTGAGTGAATGAAAGGTCACACACACACTAAGACCGGGGGTCTAGTGGTTACATAGAGACATTCATCTCCCCAGTTTTGGGTGTATGTGATTGAATTAACCAAGGCCAGGTGTGTAATCAACGCTCTTCATGGTTGATTGCACACGTGGGACGTAGGAGTTCCTCTCCAAAAGTTTGTGAAAGGCTGTTAGTACCTTAAAGTACGGGTGCATTCTGAACCTATGTGTGAAGTATGTTACGGGTGCTGGTGGAGAAATACACTCATAACTCCTGAAAATCTAGAGAGAGTAATGAAAAAACAGCGGAAGCACCTGCTTGCCCGACGGGTCATGAGTGATTTTCTCTGTTTGTTGTAAATGCCTGCCCCTTGTCAGGTTAGTACAGTAGTTACAACTTTTGGGTTCTGGGTAGTACAGTATGACTAAAATCGGGATTTCTATTCTACAATGGTTGCTATAATTTTGTCGGATGCCATGTTCATCGGTGCAAGTAATATTTTTTGTTTTATGTGCCACTAAGTGATGTAGGATGTACGAAGGAATTGTTTCAGATGTTCTGGTGTATGTAGTACTGCTGTACTAGTAGTCCTCTTCAGATGCAATTAATAGCTTTTAATATTTTTTTTGATACCATGTATAACTTTTGTTTCCCATTGTAGTGTTACAAGCCACTCTAAGAAGTACTCTAGTGCTTGTGTACAATTATTGATTCTATCTGTAGTGTTGGAAGGAATAGAAGTGTCATCTTTTACCAGTGTGCCTAATTAACCCCAATCACAGGTACTGTACTAGCTTTCCACGGTCACGGAGAATACTTTTATTTAATTGTGTTTGTGCTGGTTCGGAATTTTCTCTGAGGGGCGCTTCCACTATAACTCTAAAAAAAAAAACAATACCTAATAGTGAGATTATTCCGACCAGTTACAACTATATATACTGTATGGATGGAGTCTCCATCATTATATCATGTTGAAATATTTTCTTTAAGGATCTCTTATTGGAAATGTCTTGTAGAGAATTTACTCAGGATCATTATGGTATCAAATTCATCTTTTAACACAATTAGAATAAAAGTTTATACAGTACACTTTTTCACTAGCGAACGAGAAACGTAAGACAGCGCTTGATTGCTCTCCTTATTCTTGTAACAGGTATGGCCGGGTCGTTTAGTTGTGTTCATATTTTGTGTTGTTTTGTCATGTGATCAATAGTCATACATGAGTACAGCTCCTCCCCGACTTATGACCACCCGCACTTACAACCCGCCTAAGTCATACCAAAATTTTGCCTAATTACGTATTTTCGAGTCCTAACTTCAGTACAGTGAGTTCTGCTATAACGCGATTTTTGCTTACTATTTCTCCAATTTTGTGGTATTAACTGTGAATATGGTAAAGAAGAATATCTCCAAGAAGCGTTCTGGTGATAGAATTCCCGGTGATGATCGTAAAAGAAAGGATATAACACTTGAAGAGAAGCTCGATGTTATCAACCTCAAAATCACCCTTCTCCCCCATCAAGTTACATTCATATTTTTTCAAGGTAAAGTGTTACATTTACTGTATGATATCATTATTAGATATGAATGTAACATTTATTTAGACTGTGCTATCCTTTGTGTTAGGCTAACTACTAAATTTTTTCGATTTCGAGTAATCTGCACCTAACCCTATTTTCTCCATAAGCCCTGTTATTTCTATTACGCGATTTTCTATAACAAGATATTTTACAAGAACACAATTATCGCGTTATAGCAGAACTACCTGTACACAGACAAAATTTTTTTTTGCTAATTCACTTTAAAATGGCTGGCAAGCTTAAAATTGAGAGTTTTGTGGTGCTGAGAAGAAAAAGAGACACCCATTTTAGATTTTCTATGTATTATTTAATCATTTTCGACTTACGACCTGGATTTGGGTCCCTAACCCCGTTGTAAGTCGGGGAGGAGCTGTATTCAATTTGCCAGAGGTAATGTAGCGCTTGTTTACAAACAGGCACTTGAGCGCTCTCTCCTTGCAACAGGTGACAGAGTCAACCCCTTTTGGGAAAAACTGACCACTGTGTCCATCTCCCCTAAGTAACCGTCTAGACCTTGCCCACAGGAAGGTGCATTAGTCTGTGCTTCAATTCTTTCATTGTTATTTTATGGTGTTAAGGGTCCCACAGACGCATCAATACTTATATGTGTTAGAAAATTTATTTTTTATTTTTTATTGTCTATTAAATGTCATTATATGTATTTTGTACAGGTATGGAATAACACGAATGTATCACATATTTTTCCAATCTTATAGATTTCTTACCAAATATTTTATTACTTCAGTTGGTTTATCTGACCTATAAATGGCCTTACTTATATTTTTTTTATACTTACTGGCAATTTATATTGGGTTTCCTGCACTGTAAATAAGGTTTTGTCAAAATCCGATATTGTCACCACCTTGTCTCATTTTTTTGCTGCTTTTTTTGTTCTGTACTGCAAATACTGGAGGTTCTGGGATGATGGGCTTCAATGTGCTGAGAGCTGATAGACTGCAGAATAGTCATTTTACGTATAAATTCTTTAGAGTAATTAGTTTTCTTGTTATAGTGTCTTAAGTATCAACATCTATTGCTTCAGTCATTTTCAGTAGGTTTTTTTTTTTTTTTAGTTGCCATTGATTTTTATAACATTTATATTTTTATGTACCCTACTCAATAACTTCAGTAGTAATTGAATATAAGTACAGTGTTTATAATCAATATACCACATTATTATTATTATTACAATTTTATTTACGTATTTTCATATATTTATTTACTCATTATTATTATTTTTTTGTGTGTGTTCATTTCGTATCGTGACTTTACTAGGGTTAAAATTCCTGCAGCGTCTGAAATGTCCCAGAAGAATTAATATAATTAAATTATGACAAATAATCAACCTCTCAAGACACATCAGCCTGTTTCACCAACCTCCTTTTTTCCAAAAACCTCTTCTAAGTCAGATGATGCTGTTAGGCAAGGTATCATAGAAAGACGGAGGGTGAAATAAAGCAGTTGTGAGGAGAAGCGCAGGGTTTGGTTCATGGACCCTGCCACCACTACACCCACACACACCCAACTGCTTCCTCCTCGCTACTTCCCAAGTTTGCTACCCTCAAGACAGGCTAAAAAATTTGCCATAAGACCTTGTCATGTATGCAAAAACACAGTGTTTTGTGAAAAAGTGCACAAGACACTAGGTATTGTTGCAGTGAGTGTAATTGTTCCACAAAACAAAACAAAAATATTGTAAATACTGTACTTGACATATAATTATTGGAAACGTAAGAAACTTTGGTGAAAAAGATATTTATGTTTGTGGAGTCGCACATTTATGAATAATAATACTGTACATCGTAAGACGTGTTGCCAGTTCATAATTTAAACAATGCTAGTGAGAAGCAATAAACTTGTAACTCCTGCTCTTATCACTTATTATGAATAAATTAGACATATATAAGGGATCAAATTATGTAAAGGGAACAGTGAAGATATAAATCAGGAGTAGAAAACAAGACTCGATATGACAACACAGTATATTACACCACAAGCCGGACTCGCTACACTTCCTATCCCAACCTCTGGTGCTGCAGCTTTAAAATTGTGAGTACAGCCAAAATTAATGTTATTCTCAGCTTTTAAATGCAGTGGTTAATGTTACCGTGATAATTTCACATGATAAGTGACAGATCAAAGTTCAAGTCAACGACAGCATCCTTCTGAAGAAGTTGTTGTAACTGTCTCTTTGGTTTCCAGGCAACCATAAAGGATCCAAATTAAGTGAAGGGCATTGACGGGATTAAGTCATGTCAGGCTAAGTAGAATAATTTAGACAAATTCTCATGGATGATGGCCTGAGAGAACTGTAAACAGGATGTGGACCTTATAGTAGCATGAGAGCTATTTTCAAATTTTTTATATCTTTTGTTTCACAGTATATAGCATCCTTGGTTGTGTTGGCCCAGGTGTGACAAACGAAGAGGAAGGGACTGGTGTTGTACATCAGTAGCCAATCTGGGGGCCTTCATAACTGATCAGCTTTAGCAGATATGAAAAATAGCTGTGAGTAGAAGCTAAGGCTGTGTACCCACAAGGCTGTCGATTATGAGGTATTCGAGGGCACGGGTTGGGGTAAGCAGCTTACAGTAATGCATCCCGCCCAATCCAAATCCCACGTTGACATCTGTAGGTAGCGACGGAGATTTCACTTCCAGCCCTGTAAATAGAGCAAACTATTTATAAGAGAAGGGAAAAGGGGCTATTATTCATATAAATTTACTTTTACAGGTATTTATATTTTTATCTTTTACTAATTTTACCATAGACAATAATAAATTATTCCTTCTTACATTAAAAATAATGATACAGTCAACCCTCACTTTACGCGGTCCCACATTCCGCGTTTCCACGTTTAAGCGGTGCCCTGCCGGAACCTAACATGCTCACATTCCGCGGTGCGTGTACCCCATTACGCGGAGAGCGGCTGGCGAGCCGCGCCATTTTTGGATCCAAACCTCCCGCCATCCGCCATGTTGTGTAAGCGGCGCGAACATGGTGCGCACAAGGTCGCCCAGTCATCAAAACATTACCAGTTCTTCACCCTCCACCCACCACAGCTGGCCCAAGTCAGTGATATTGATAATTATAGTGAGGATATGGACTTATATGAACTTTGGGGGGTTTGACAAAGAGGCCCTGCAAGCCTCTGTGGTGGATAGTGATACAATTGATACAAGTGATACAGGTGAGGGCCAATAATCTGCCCTCTGCCTCGGAACCAACCGCCCGTCCCCGTGTGCCCAGCCATCTTTTCTACTAATGTAAGTGTTAAAAAACCTAATATTTTTGATATTTCTCTTAATTATTAATTGTGTGTGCATGCCATCATAAAGTTAAGATAATATTTTTACTACAACATAGTTGTGTGTCGTCAAAAAGTGGAGTTTGGGGGTCGGCCCGGACTCTATTTCAATTAATCCCATATGTTATGTTATTCACTTTACGCGTTCCTCACTTTCCGCGGCACCCTGTGGGTTACATTAACCGCGTAAAGTGAGGGTTGACTGTACTGTATTAACCACCCAAAAATGGGTGACACTTATTAATAATACTGTAGGTTGATTTACAGTTTACTTAATATTATTATTTTGGCAATCCACACAATCAAACAAAACAACTTTTCTAACCTAAGATGAATTAATTATTATTAATTTAAGATACTGTACAGTATTTGGTTCATGTAGACAAATGACAGAGTTCTTGTGAGGGAAAGTTTGATAGGTCAATGCGGATTATGTTAGTAACTTGTCACGCACAACATGGCGTCATGTGACAATAATATGCTGCGTACATGGTTCATTTAAAGTTGCAAGACTAATTAATTTTTAATTCCTGGTGAAATTTTATGGCCTTTTCACACAAAAGTGGCCTAGAAATAAGAGTACTGTATCTTCATTGTGATGGTAATTAAACCACTCATACAGAAGCCTATCAAAGTTGGCTGATAAGGTATTTGCAACACTTTCAGTCTGATGCTTTCTGGATGTAATTATAAGGGAAGAATTTTTGAAAATAGAAGACTAACAATTGAGAATACGCTGGGGCTATAGTGCCTCACATTTACAGTGAAAATAATAACTATGCAGTGACGAGGACTTTGACTGTACTCCGTAAACAGAGCGGTTAACTATGGAAACTTTGCTCCCAGTTAGCAGTAATCTTGCATGCGTTGGACCACGGATATTGAAAAGTGGAAGTGGATCCCATAGACATGATTACCCATTACAGATAGTATGGATGCGGCACACTGTAAATTAAGTCTTCGGTTTACAAGGAGGCAGCATTCAACCAAATCCACTTCCTCAAGTTGTAAACTTAGGTACCCATTTATAGCTGGGTGAACTGGAAGTGCCTGGGATTGAACCACCAACCCATGGAACTGGAGGCGAGTTAATAAAATCTCTCAACATGAATTTTAAATATTCTACAGTCTAGTAATTATTGTTAATATTACAGTGTATTATAATTCTTACACACCTGCATCTGTGATACTGTACAGGAGGTGAGCTTCAAGCCAGCCAGAGCCTGTCAACTTGACTTCATCAGGGTGGAAGGTGGAGGATCGTCCCCGGGTCTCAAACCGAGATTTGGAAAGACCAGATGCAGTTGACAGTGCTAAGTCAAATGCTGCCTGCAGCAAAATTAATGAAGATGTAAAGAGATTGGAGAACTGTCATCAGGAAATCACCACTAACCCACACAAGTACGGAAAATGGCCATAAAACAGTGATGGCGATGATGACTTTTGGTTAACTGTATATTCATATATTAAACAAATGTGGGAAGGGTGTTATCCATTATGACTAGGAACAGACCAACCACCTGAATGGCGAGTGGTGAAATGATAAATAGATTTTTTATAACAATGTTCACCTTTTGTAGGTTACATTTAAGTCTGCAGTTGTGACCTACAAATTAAGGGATTACAATTGTCCTGAGTCAAACACTCACCTGGTTGATATCTCTACAGCTGACTTCATCACCGAACTCAACTCCGAGAGGAATTAATAACTCCATGATCGCCTCACGGCTCTTGAACTTAGTGCCCATTTCCTATAGGGGTAAAAAAGCTATCATAAAGAACTAATCACCATTAACACTGGTACTGTAATTAGGAACCACATGTTAGTGAATTCTACTATCTGGCCAGAGGCCAGATTTGCTGCTGTATAGTTTAAAACTGACCGGATTGCATAGCTTTGTTGATTTCTCTATAAATGGCCAGGCTAACTGTAAGCCTACAACTGCACTCCTGGGGGTCTAATATTTTGGATAGCCTCCAATTACATGGCCATTCATCTTTCCTTATTTATATATTTGTTCATGAATCATTGTACAGTGGGGTATGTTATAACGAATCTAATTGGTTCTAGAACCTCGTTCGTTATAGGATTAATCCGTTCCAGGCTCCCAAATACAACCACTTAACAATGAAAAATTTCTGTGGAAATTGTAAAAAATATGGTACTTTATCTACCTTAGTGTTGTTCAGCATGCAGAGGAAGAGGTGGAAGGAGAGGAGTCATCCTTCCTAGCCTTCTTTGGTGACTGTCTTACAGGCACTTTGTCTGTTTATTTATAATTTCTTTCTTAGTTTCAAGGGTTATTAGCTTTCTCACTCGCTTTTGACGATTCATTGTTACAATTGTACACTTGTATAACAAAATAGTTATAAAAATAACAGGAATTTCCACATCAAAAGAGGAAATTTCAACAAGTTCAGTGGTGCACTGACTACACAATGAACCAATATGGCGCCTGACGCTCTTGCTATGAGCCGCGGTACAACGATATTCATGCGCAGGACGAAATAGTCCCATATTCATCCGCGTTCGTTGTAGGAGTTTCGTTCGTTATAGCATTCTCAATTTTATAGGTAAAACCGTTCGTTATAGGAATATTCGTGGTAGAATCCGTTCGTTATAGCATACCCCACTGTAGTTCACAAGAAATACTACAATACAGTATTAACATTACCCCCTCCATCAATATCCTTAAAAGTTATGTTCTGCAGCAGCTGCATATATTACCTGTTTGACTTAACTCACTCCGTCCTTCCATAACTTACGATAAGAAGACTGTATACAGTATAGATCTTTATACTACAGTACACATTTAGTGTAGGTAGTAGGTAGCTATTAAACAGGGAGGTAAGACCGCCTGGGAAGATATTGGAATCATAATGTATTGTCTAATGCAGTGATTCTTAAACTGGGGGGCGCGAGCGGTCAGAGAGAAAAGTTTGGTCAGGAACTGAATGCGTTTGTACACGATTGCTCATCCCCCCACTATAATAACCAAGGGTTGCATCAGGGGGTGGGGGAGAGTGGGATCTAGGACTTATGCAGAAGGGGGGGGAGGCAAAAAAAGTTTAACAACCACTGGAATGGTAGACCTTGCTGCCATATGGCATCAAAAAAAAAAATTTGACCAAGTCCCAGGTTGCTGATCTGACCTTCTGCCTCATTTACACAATTGTTGACAACTTATTTTTACCTAAATGCCTCAAAAAGTTCTTGAACAACATTATTATGCTATAACCTATCAAAGATGATTTTTACAGAGATAGAGGCTTTAATAAGTGTTTTAGACAAAATCAGTCTATTGATAAACTAAGCTGTTGGAATAGGGTAGGCAAGGCTAAACATATTTTGTTAATGGAATAATGGAAATTTCAAAGAAATTGGTCTCTTAAATATGGGTATAGTGTACAGTATATGGGTACTGTAGTCTGCATTGAACATGTGACTACAATACAACAATAACTGATTATGTGTTTATAATTACAGGTACCCCCACGTTGTGGAAAATATTTCAGACATTATAATTCCTTTGGTGTCGATTTCTTGGTGTTTGCTACCACCAAGTATGAGTACACAGTGCACCCATGCTGCTGGACTCAGTTTGTTTATACTTCCCAGCAAGTATGCTTGATCTCTTGACCCCAGCTCTTGGATTTAACAGTTGTTCAAGACTGTCCAGTGTATTACCCTTATTCAAGATACGTGGAAAGAAGCTATCAAGTGTAAGTAAAAGCAGTGGTGGTAAAGAGCCCGTAAAGGAATAACAGTTTTTATAAAACTTTATGTTTTATGGAGTTTGATACAGGAGAAAAAACAGCCAGATTGCAAAAACATTAGGGCTTACTACGTCTCCCAATAACTCTTATTGCACCACCGCACCTCATGAAGCACTCAACAGCATTTGTGGTGAGTTAAATGCAAGTGTTTTGTATATTATCTCATAAAATAATCATTGTATATGTTAAATAATATTTAATTTAAAAAAAAATTGGTATGTGTGTGTGGGTGATATGGCCAAGATGGTGAACAAGTCTTAACTTAAGCTTTTCCTACAGCAGTCTTAAGCTGACAGCATTCTCTCATTCATGTGGAACTTGCTTTTACAGCCTAAAGTGTTATGCAAGTGAAGTGAAGAGGAGTTGTTAGAGATATTACTTTTGAATACTGTATATGATAATATTACAGTATGAACTTAATTCCCATTTGGTGATTTCTTATTACCACAATGGCATCATAATGCTAGAAAGGTTCCTACATAAATAACTTTTATGTAAACAGTGATATGAATTTCCAGTACAATACTATGATTCCTAATCTGTATCATGGACTAACCTTAGATGTGATAGGCTCTGAACCCACTGAAAGCCTGTTGGGGTTGGGATATATGTGGGTACTTGTGGTCGTATTGGCCATTTTCTGTTCCAACACAACATGAGGCTTTGAGGAGCTAAACTTTAATAAGGTCTCAAAAATGGTGTCGGTTACCTGAAGAAAGACAGTCATTAATAGAAAGTAGCTTACAGCTGACCTAGCCATTGTTAAGTCCACTATGGTACTGTACTACAGGAAAGGAGCAATACAGTAGATGATAGCAGCCATGTAGAATCTCACAAGACCTTAGAACATTGCAAGATAGGTTGCTGACGAGAGAAATGGTAAAACTGTTAAACTTTTTAAAGAATACACTTTTTAATTACCATAATAAAAACAGCATTTGTCACTTGTCTAAATGGACTATTATTATATTAAGCCAAAAAAAGGAACAAAACTTGGGGATGTTGCTATTGTAAGGTGTTAACTCACACTGAAAACTATGATAAACTGCCTGCCCAATTGGGATTGGTAATTTGAGATAACCGTATCAGACACAGTACACCGCCATCAAACCTATCAGATTATGGGTTATTCTTTTGATATTCATGGCCAAACTTGTAAAGTAACAATGTTCCAGAGACAAATAACCAAACATGTACAAAAATTTTCAACAGGGAAACAAAATTTGAGGATCATTGACTTACTGTCAAGTATTCACTATACTTGTCCAATACGGCTGACATGATACGCTGCCCATGCTCAGTCCAGGGTGACCTGACACCATCACCCTCCATTGTCTCTTCCATGTTATCTAATGGCTGTGAAGGGGCAAAATATATCCATTTAAGCAATACAGTAGTAGGTTATTGTGGAGGTGGTGTACACAATCAAACAAATAATTTTATGGGTGGGTTCAATGAATTTCAAAATGAACACTGTACCTCCTCTTGTCTATGGAGAGTTGTCGAAATCTATCATCCGTTGTGTCATTGTCTTAACTAAATTGTATGCAGTAGACCCTCACGAACTACGGATTTCCCATCCGCAGATTTCAGATATCCAAAGTTTTTACTCTGTATTGTATACCATTTCACCAACCACAGCATTGAATTTTGAATAAAGGCAGATTAGCATGGCTTCTTTATCCCTCCATGGTGTAATGAATGCCTCCATTAATGTGAGGAAATAATAAATATAATACTAAGAGATAAAATAAAAGAAAAATACCTGTACTGTATTGCCATTTGCCAATCGTTTCACTAAGGACACGAGAGACAGGAATGCAATCCCTCTTCCCTTTCCACGATAGTGGGCTAACTCCCGCCGACATAAGAAATGTTTATTCTTTATGTTTTTCCGATAATAATTTTTTATATTTTTTTTCCTTTCTGTATGAATGATTGTGTGTGCATATAACGGGAAAAAAATTAAGTTTATATACCCCAAAATACGAGTTGAAAAATAACAATAACACAGCTTGGCCTGGTAGGGGGATGTAGCTACAGTGACAGTCTAACTTAGTGACTTGCCAAGTCCACACACACATTTACTTCACACACATACATATCCATACTCTTCATTTTTGTTATTTTATAGCAGCATGCCATCTTCACAGATGTATTGTAATATTTATATTACTTTTTAATTTGTTGAATTACTTTATATGAACAAGGGTATTTGACTCAAATTTAATTAAATATACAGCTCCTCCCCGACTTACGATGGGGTTAGGGACCCAAATCCAGGTCGTAAGTCGAAAATGCTTAAATAATACAGTACATAGAAAATCTAAAATGGGTGTCTCTTTTTCTTCTCAGCACCACAAAACTCTCACTTTTAAGCTTGCCAGCTATTTTAAAGTGAATTACAAACGAAAATTTTTTCAGTACACAGCACAATCACTGACGTTGGGACTCGAAAATACGTAATTTGACAAAATTTAGGTACAGCTGAGGCAGGTCGTAAGTCGGGGAGGAGCTGTATATGATACAAGTATTGTTTAGTAAAGGAACAGGCAACTTAGACTTTGATGAGTGTTATCTGTGGATTTTCTTTATCATATCAACCTTATCTTTCAGTGAATAAACACGTCTTAAGTATTTACTGGGGTCAGGGGCAGCCTTCTTTTTCTGCACTGGTGATATGATGCAGGATGTAATAAATGTACAAAAAAAATGGCTAAAACAGTCAAGCAGGCATGACCGATGATGAAAGCAGTCACAAACAATAACAAACCTGGGAACCAATGCATTTTGTAACATACACTGTAGCTTCTGTCTCATTGCTGCCCTCTCTTGCTGAACACGGTGACTACCATCGCTGACCCATCCCCAAATCACCCTGTGATAATGAAATATTGGGTCACAGTTGAGGGTACTGTGTTATCCCAAATCAGCGAATATCGAGGATAGATGTACAGTTTAGAGAAAAGTCTCAGAAAGAGCAGAAAAGGATGCTGGAAAGTTCTACATCTAATGCACAGTTCCCACTCTGCAAAATTGGTTTGGCATTAGGAAGGACACTCAGCTGTAAAACTTGCTTCAAATTTGCTTGATAGTACAGTAAGTCCTCGCTTAACGTCGGGGTTACATTCCTGAAAAAGCTACGAGATATGAAACAACGTTAAGTGGATCAATTTTCCCAATAAGAAATAGATAAAATGCAGGAGTTACGTTCCTGAGCCTCCCTTTGCCCCATGAAATACATTACATTTCTATGGAAAATAGTGCATGCATATACAACTATTTTATTAAGTTTGTATTGGTACTCACCGATGGGCGGAGGTGGTAGAGCGAGAGTGTGGTGGGTAGTGAAGCATAGGAGGCGGATGGCGGGAGTGGAGGAGGTGGATGGCAGAGGTGGGAGAAGAGGTGGAGGGTGGTGAGTCACTGAGACTCTGCAGCTACCTCAGCCACTGTTTGCTCCTCCATTGAAGTTTGTTCCTCCTCCGTTGTTGTTTGCTCCTCCCCGGCTGCTGTGTGCTCCTCCTCGGCTGCCGGCTGTTGTGAAGAAGTTACTTCTGCCATCCCACGACGAAAAAATGAATCCAGTGTTGACTGCTTGGTGCTACTCTTCTCCTTATAGATCTCAGTGTAACAATCAAGACTGACATCAATGCTGTGTTGAATCTTTGCGCTACGTTCTCTGTTTTGGTCGTCATCTATAAGGATTTGCATTCCTTGCCAGATCATGTTGAATGCTTCTGCCATCCTCTTGGAATTTAGCGTTCGTTGAGGTTCTTCATCGTCGTCGTCTTCAACAGGACTGTGTTGTGTTAACAGTTGCATATCTTCATTGGTGAGTTCTTCTGTATGGGATGCCAGGACTTCTTCAATATCCTCTGATTCCAGCTCATCAAAGCCTGCCTGCCTATTCACAGATGGGACTAAGTCCGTGAATCCCGTAAAACTGTTGACGCACTCGGGCCACAATTTACACCACACACCATTCAGGCATCTTTCTGAAACCTCTTCCCATGCCTTGCCAATGTTGTCAGTTGCATGAAGAATGTTGAAGTCCTGCCAATATTCTCGGATCGTAGGTTTATTTTCTTCGTGTGTAGCCTTGAGCGGCTGGGTCATGGTACGGCGTAAATAATATGCCTTGAATGCGGCGATGATGCCTTGGTCCATAGGCTGCATCAGTGCTGTCGTGTTGGGAGGCAGGAATACAACTTTTACTCTGTCATGCAAGTCGTCGAGACTGGGAGGATGAGCTAGAGCATTGTCAACGATCAGAAGAATTTTGAAGTCAAGGTTTTCCTTGCCACAGCATTCCTTCATATTTATCCACTGGCTAAATATGGCGCCGGTTATCCATGCCTTCTTATTTGCCTTGTAGATCACAGGAAGGTGATCCTTAGAGTAACCTTCCAGGACCCGTGGGTTGACAGCACAAGAAATCAACATTGGCTTCAGCTTGAAGTTGCCGGCAGCGTTCGTTCCAAGCAGAAGCATCAAGCGGACTTTTGCCGCTTTAAAACCTGGTGCTCTTTTCTCCTCCTTGGAGATATAGGTCCTCTCAGGCATCCTCTTCCAAAAGAGACCAGTCTCATCCACAATGTAGACTTGCTTTGATGAGTAGCCTCCTTCTTGAATAATCTGTTTGAATTCTGGCGGGAATGTCTTGGCAGCAACCGTATCTGAACTTGCAGCTTCATCAGTCATCATTATGAAGTTATACCCGCGCTTAAATCGTTGAAACCAGCCTCGGCTGGCCGTAAAGGTCTCTTCCTTCGCTCCTTCACCTTCTGTTTTCTTCATGTTGTCAAACAAGAATCTGGCCTATGCTGGATAACCATAAGGCTCACAGGCCCATTGCGTTGATTCTGGTCCTCCATCTACATAGCCGGCATCTTTTCCACCTTTTCTATCATTGCAATGCCCCTGTGAGCCTTATGGTTATCCAGCATAAGGCCAGATCCTTGTTTGATGACTTCATGGCAGAAGAGGGTGAAGGATCAGAGGAAGAGACATTTACAGCCAGCCAAGGATGGTTTCAATGATTTAAGTGTCGTTGTAACTTCCACAATATAAAGATGACTGGTGAAGCTGCCAGTTCAGATACGGTTGCTGCCTAGACATTCCTGCCAGAATTCAAACGGATTATCCAGCAAGGGGGCTACTCACCGAAGTAAGTCTTCAATGTGGATGAGACTGGTCTCTTTTGGAAGAGGATGCCTGAGAGGACCTATATCTTCAAGGAGGAAAAAAAGAGCGCTAGGTTTTAAAGCGGCAAAAGACCGCTTGACGCTGCTGCTTGGTGCGAACGCTGCCGGTGACTTCAAGCTGAAGCCTATGCTGATTTCTCGCGCTGCTAACCCATGGGCTCTGAAAGGTTACTCTAAGGATCACCTTCCTGTCATTTACATGGCAAACAAAAAAGAATGGATAATCGGCTCCATATTTAGCCACTGGTTAAACGTGTATGCCGTCCCTGCGCCGAAGGAATACTGTGCCAAAGAGAACCTTAACTTCAAAATTCTTCAGATCCTTGACAATGCTCCAGCTTATCCTCCCAATTTCGACGACTAGCATGACAGTGTAAAAGTTGTATTCCTGCCTCCCAACACGTCAGCTCTGATGCAGCCTAAGGACCAAGGCGTCATCGCCGCATTCAAGGCGAATTATTTATGCCGTACCATGACCCAGCTGCTCAAGGTTACAGACGGAGAAAATAAACCAACGATCCGAGAATACTGGAGTGACTTCAACATTCTTTCTGCAATTGACAACATTGACAAGGCATGGCAAGAGGTTTCAGAAAGTTGCCTGAATGGTGTGTGGCGTAAACTGTGGCCTGAGTGCGTCAACAGTTTTATGGGATTCACGGACTAGTCCCATCTGTGAATAGGGATATCTTCAGCTTGGTGAGACAGGCATGCTTTGATGTGCTGGAATCAGAGGATATTGAGGACGTCCTGGCATCCCATACAGAAGAGCTCATCAATGAAGATCTGCAACAATTAACAGAACACAGTCCCATTGAAGACGACGATGAAGAAGAACCTTAACGAAAACTGGCTTCCAAGAGGTTGGCAGAATCGTTGAACATGTTCCAGCAAGCAATGCAAATGCTTCTAGATGACGACCCAAACAGAGAACATAGCTCAAAGGTTCAATGCAGCATTGAGAACAGTCTTGGTTGTTACACCGAGATCTCTAAGGAGAAGGAGATGAGTAGCATCAAGCAGTCAACATTGGATTCATATTTTCATCGCGGGACGGCAGAAGGAGCTTCTTCCAACAGCCGACAGCTGAGGAAGAGCAAACAACAATGAAGCAGGAGCAAACAACAACGGAGGAGGAGCAAACAACAACGGAGGAGGAGCAAGCAGTGGCGGAGGAACCCCAGTCATAGAAGGAGGAGGAGGCAGCCCCAGAGTCTCAGTGACATACCACCCTCCTCCTCTCCCGCCCTCCTCCACTCCCACCTTCCTCCTCCGCTCCCGCCATCCTCCTCCTTTGCTCCACTACCCACCACACACTTGGTCTACCACTTCCGCCCATTGGTGAGTACCAATACAAACTTAGTACTGTAGTTCTATATACTATTTTGTCTAGAAATGGCAATGATTTTCTGTATATATAACTTTTCATGGGGCAAAGGAAGGCTCAGGAACGTAACTCCCGTATTTTATCTATATCTTGTGGGGAAAATTGATCCGCTTAACGTCATTTCGCATAACTTCATTTTCAGGAACGTAACCCCGACGTTAGGCGAGGACGCCCTGTATTTATCCTGACAGAGATACAGACGAAAATAGATTCACCAATCACAATCACTATTACATACAGCCTTACTTTACAAGTATCACCAGGCAAAATTGCGAGTATGAAAACCAGGGTGGGGTCAATGCAGCTTTGGTTGACTGTACATACTGTACTTGGTAATGGGACATATGTAAGGGAACATGGTGAAGGGAAGTAGGTGAATTGATGTGGAAGTGGAAATATTCTGTGTTGTCTTAAGCATCTGCAGTATATCTGATGCCCAAATCAGTAAAAAGCCATGTCTATAACACCCTCTGTTAGTACACTCGTGCCCACAATACCTCTCTTACTACACTCATACCCAAACCACCCTCTAACTACACTCACGTCAATGACGAGAAGTACTACTGCCTGGAAAGACATTGGAAGCATAATGTGTTGTCTAACGGTAGACCCTGCTGCCATATGGCATCATGAAAATTGTGACCAAATCCTGGATTGCTGAGCTGACTGACTTTCTGCCTTTACACAGGTGCAGGGTCTCACCATATATTCGTTTATCATTGTTTATTTTTTTACTTTTTTACTTTTTTTTTCCATTTCACGGTGTGGAAAAAAATGATTAGACAATGTGAAAATATGTAAATAAACATAGAAACAGATATGACGACAATATATACTTGTACTGTAGAGGAAGCAAGAGTGACGCTCACCTGTACACAAGAATGACATATGTTTGAACAGGTTCTCAGGTTATATATACGCTTGGGGAATTATATACTTGTAACATGTGATAGTGGTTTTGTGGTGCAATAGTGCGATGTGTGGGGGGGAGGGGGGCTACTGCAAGAGATGACCCCCGTTTTCCGAGCTGCGAACTGGAAGAACACTTTTTTCATTATACTTCTACACAGCCTTTAATACTTGTCATCCTGTATGGCCACTAAAATTTGAATTTAAATTAATCAAACTAATTTTATTACGTTGGTATAAGTATACCGTATGTCTATTGGTGTGAGTTGGGGGGGAGGGGGGTGATAAACAAGGTTTTCGTAAGACGTTGAGAAATAAACATCTGCCCGGGAGAGGTAGATAAGAAAAGATGTTTGTCTTATTTCAGAGGGATGGAGCTATGTGGTGGAAACTTAGGGGAGTTGTTGTAATGTGGTGAAGAGTGTAGCTTTCTCAGATGGTCTTCATAACTAAAATTCTTCAGGTACAGGATTTCGTTGGCCATCTCGAAACACTTTCGATCACGTGGATTTCGTTTATCGTATGTGAATGCTGTACATCATTTGCCTAGAATAAAATGAGTGCATGACGGCCTTGTATAATAACCTATTGAAACATCAATGTCTAAATGAATATCAGACCCATCATTTGGTCCGACATTCTTAGTGGTTTATGTGATCTTCAAAGCACAAATTTGTTTTCACTTTCATTAACAGTAGTCCAATGGATGTTACAATTATAAAACCGGGTTTCAGGATGAATTACATAATATTCCCACAAAAAACACATGATATTGTATTTACAATTATTACATTATTTTCGAATCCATTTAGTTTTGAAACTCCTTAAAATAAAAATGAAAGGCATAAATTAATGGAGCGCTGATTAATATTTATCAGAACCCAGCAGTGCCCGGATCTAGGATTTTTATTTGGAGAAGCTAGTGGTGTAGTGGATTTCTCCCCTACAAACGCTGTTTGTCGCTGAGTAGCCAATCCCGCGAATTCCCCAGTGTATGCCTCGTGGTCTAGGTCAACCAGCGCCGCCCACGGAGCAGGGGTCAACTATCTACCCACGCCTACTTCCGCTATAAAAGACTGACCTCGTGTATGACAATTTTAATGAATAAACATCATCACCATTCTCTACGATACGGGTACAAACTTCTTCATCAGCTAAGTAACAACCTGGCGTCTGCATGTCACTGAGTTGACCGAACTATCAACTGCTCTGGTTCACCGGCCAAAGTGGCACCGCAAAGCGGCTGGGGAGTAAACTAAATAATTAACAAGCAAGGAATAAAGGGAGGAAAGCGAAATAATCGCCAAAATCAGGATTTCTTTTGTTATGTGTATTTCTTTATAACATTTGCAATGGGGCCCCGTTACTGTGCAGCTATTAATCGCTGTAGCAACTCCATAAAGAACAGATACCTTTCATTCTTTCGACTTCCGAAACACAAGAGAGGTGAGTCGTACAATGTTGACATTAGTTTATAATATGAGCGCTTTCTTTATTTAATGCATTAGTACAAACGTTCCACTCTTCAGAATTGCTAGTTAACATCAGAGTATCATTAGAATATATATAAGATGAGCAGGATACTGTCGTATTCTCGAAAATATGTCATTATTCGTTTTAGGACCCATGACTTTTTGGGCGATATGTGTTTCCTGTATACTGTATTTTGATATGTTTTAAATGGATTTCATATTCATTTCTTGGGCAAATTCATGAACAACTTGCCAACCCAATCCAAATTGTATGATAAAAACAGGCAATGAACGAACCAATCCAAACCTAACGAAACCTGACCGAACCTAACTAAACCTAAATTTACCTACCTAACCTTACGTTACCTAACTACCCTTACTTTACCTACCTAGCCTAACTTAACCTACCTAACCTAACTGTACCTAACCTAACCTTATTTAACCCAACTACTTTTGTCTTGGCAATTTTGTGTCGTTTCATGAAAAAAAAAAAAGATTAAAAATTGGTAGAGTACAACCATGGAACTCTATAGTGCTTTAGTCTCAAAATTTATATTTTCCAGTCACAGATATACCTTGTTACACAAACATTCGGTCTGCGAATATTCACTATACCAAATAATATTTTATTCTTACACCTCTTTCCCCCTATGCAAAAGCTTTGGTCCCTTAATACACACACATGTAATAGACCTAGTGCCTGTCTAAATTTATTACCGATTCATTTAACCTTTTAGGTGTTATGATCCTTCATGTTTGGCAAAATGGATGTTGACTTTTGGGGATGACATTTCCTACGAATCAATCTCTGAAACTAACAGCAGTAGAGATCTGTAACTTTATGTACATGTTTAACTATGTTGACCTAATGGCTGCCTAAATTTAGCACTGATTCAATAGAGGAAGGAACGCCCGGAGGGCAGATTTGGAATCACATAATCATTCCGTTTAATCACTGAAGATAAACTGCAATTAACTACGGGTAGTGCTCAACCAGTTCAGAACCCTGCAGCCCACCCAACTTCCAGCCGACGGGTCAACATGAGGTAAGAAGAAAGGTCTATATTTATGTCGACCTTTATAAAAGAATCTACGTACCTGTAGGGAACTCAGTATACATAAGTGGTGAACGTCAAGGGGTGAGGAAGAGAATCTACAAGTTGTTTCTAAAGGTTTGGTTAATTCCCTTTTGAGTGTAGGACACTACTGGGCAGTGAAGGACTGTGATCAACAGCCGAAAGACTTTATTCTTATAATTAAAGTTCGGAGATTTTAGCCCCATGCGTATCTCAAATTAATAACTAGACTTACTAGATGATTTACAGGATTACTTCATATTTTCGTCGTTATTACGATCAAAAATAAGGATTTTCCCTATTATCTTAAGTATGAATTATTATTAATATCCATGATATCAAATTTAACTCAAATAATTTATATTTTGAAGTCGTTAGTAGTACAACTTGAACATTAGTAGTGCCAGGCCTTAAAATGTAGCCAAATTCGCGACTTGTACCTAATCTGGCATCCCTGCCGGGTGGTGACAAATTGACAGGTGTCAGGTGAATAGGGTGATTGGTGTTATGGGCATGCGCAGTGATGGCGCTGTGGGATGGATTACTTAAGTGTTAGTTTGTCCTAATTGACATGCCTATACATTACTATGTTCAAAGTTGCTTACATTTAAATATCGTTTCGACTCACCAATTTACACGGTGTTACAGTGGTACTGGTAATTATAGACGAGCCTGCAAGCTCTGCAATAACATCTTTGAGTCCTAAAGAAACTTCCAATAGTGCGATTGGTGGGCTTCAACATAACGCTGATCTGCAACTGTGATAAAATTCATTAAGAAATTCACATGTGAGGATGGCTTTCTGACATATGTTCAATTTTACGATCGCACAATCCACGCACGTGAAGGAGTACTGAATGTGATGAGAGTTGCGTCACGTGTAAGTTGAATCACGTGACAGATCAGCTGTGAAGGGTTGCCAGTTTGTTGCCAAAGTATTCAACCTGTTCACGTGTTGACGGGATGATTGCAGCACTGAAGAGATTTAATAACTTACGAACCGTGTTGTTGAAATAAATTACTGATGTTTAAATTTAATACTTGACTAAAAATGCATTGTATTGTATAGATGCTACTCAATAGGCGGTGTACACGGTATTGAAATATTTCACCAAAAATATGATGTGGCATTTTCGAACACTACGTTGACCAATGAGAAACCAGCTTTGGATGGCAGCCGACACTCGGTTCCAGTAATATTCCCTGCGCCGGTTAGTTCTACCTGAACCTGTGTCTAAGAAGGGGTGTTGGTCAACAGAAGGTCCTCCAACTAAAATTCGTTTGCCAAACCTTTCATTATATTGTAATAATGCAATAAATCAATGATTGTGAACACGCTGAGTATTGCATAATTCATACACTTTAAAATCTTAGTGATCATAAGGTAAAAAAACAAAAGAGCATCGTATACAGTGACCTAAAAGCTTTTCATTCATATGTTTGAATTCTTATAAAGCATTACCTCATATTTTAATACATTTTGGAATCTAACATATACATTTATTTAATATTTTATTAAACGATACCAACATTTGCTGAGAAATTGGATTGTTTATCTCAGCTCAAACTCCCCGAGGAAGCACCAACGTGTTTATAAAGGAATAGTTTTGTTCCTCTTGTGTGTACGGTGATCATGGCAAATTCTTCCACGGATAACTCTGCCAATGATACGGTAAATACTGTTGTTGTGTCTATGTTTCATCTATTCATAGCTGCATGAATGATCAGAGATGAATTTACTCCTGCTCATGCGCAAAGACACACGACTGTTTCACCTTCCTGTCACCTTGGCATGCTGCAGTCTTTGCTCCACACAGTACCGAGTAATGATTTGTCAAATGCAAACATGTTTTTTATGATGTTTGCTCAAATAAGCAACATTTGAGTTCCTTTGATACACCACTAAATACATTCAGACGTTGATAATGTTAAACTCAAATAATTTCGTTTGACATTAAGCCAAATAAGCTTATGGGGCACAGTCAACTGTATTACTGTACCTTTAAGAGGACAGGCACTAGTGATGTTTACATTCCTTAGTCCATCATACACGTCTCTAGTCTTTTACACATTTAAAAAAACATGGGGCATTGAGTATTGAACTGTAAATAATAGGTTTCTTTTTCATTTAACACCAGGTTCAATAATGAATTGCTCCTGCGGATGACATCTCAAAATAACACTTGTAGACGAATGTAGCTCAAATTCATTAGTTGAATGATCGCATTGAAAGTTTTCAGTTTATATATATATATATATATAATATATATATATATATATATATATATATATATATATATATATATATATATATATATATATATATATA